CAGCAGGTGTTTAATCGCAGTGGAGACAGTTTACTAGGCAGCGTCTGAAAATTAGGGGAAGTCCCCTCAGGTTGGTGTAATTCATTGATTATCCCGATATACAAGAAAGGAGACAAGTCTTTCTGTGATAATCACAGAGGGATTGGCTTAACTAATATGGTATCTAAATTTCTAGGCTCAATAATAATGCGTAGACTAAGCGGTGCACGGGAGGCACAAACACGAGAGAACCAGGCAAACTTTAGACCAGGAAGAGGGTGTATTGATCATATCTTCACCCTTCGACAGATTCTGGAACACAGGTGGCATACGTACCGGCGTCCAACAATCGTTATATTTCTTGACCTAAAGGCGGCATTCCATCCTGTCGACCGAGAGGTACTCTTGCGTTGCTTGGGTGTAAAGGGAATGCCGAGCAATTACGTTACACTGATTAAGGCACTCTACTCGAACTCATGCAGTCAGCCAGGTGAGGGCTTACAGCGAGCTGTCGTCTGAAGTGGTGACGACTAGTGTTATCCGTCTGTGCGTTGGTAGCACAGTGGTTAGGAATCTCGCCGACCATGCACATGGTCCGAGGTTCGATCCCCTGCCGACGCACACCTGATATCTATGGTCGGCCTTCAAAATTTGGGCTACCGATATCCATGCTGAAAATTTCATACTTGTACCAAAAATACATTGTGGAATCAAGATGTAAATCAAAAAAATATTCAATTTCATCATAGATGTACTAATGGACTTAACCCAAACTCACTTCTGCGACTCAGGGATTTACCTACTACCAGGAAATAAGCTTGTTAACCTAGAATATACAGATGATACAGTCTCCCTTCCTAGGTGAAGACGCTGACAAAATGCAGAGTCTTCCGAGCACCTCGAGCTGCAATCTACGAATGTTTGTCATGCGATTCGCTCCCACCAAATGTAAGATGATGCTACAGGACTGGACTAAACTGACTTCTAGTTTAGAAATAGGGAGTGAAGTGGTAGAGCACGTTGACCGCTTCACTTATTTGGGAAGTTGCATCAGCTAGTCCAAGTGGGTTGATCGCTGACGAAATGTCAGCAGTGATACAGAAGACTAGTTTCGCATATGCCGTCTCTGGTGTAGACGTGATATCCGGCTGTCGACTAAAGGGCGTTTGTACTGCTCAGCAGTCTGATCCGTCCTCCTTTATGGTTGTGAGCGAGAACTGGTCATTGAGAGTGGAAGAGATGAAAATGCTATCCGTCTGCCATCATGGTGTCTGCTTTCTATCTCCCGTGTGAAATGGTATAATAGGGTGAGCAATGCTGAAGTGAGTCATCGGTGGAGTGCTAGGTAGGGAGGGGAAATCAATAGATGAGGTTGTGAAGTTACACCGACTGAGATGGTTAGGACGTGTTAAGAATGCCTAGCCATCCACCGCTTTCCTCGACGGAAATGTCAGCTGACATGGGATTGTGTTGGAAAAGAGCCAGTGGTGGTCAAACCGAAACATAGCTTCATCAGTCAATGAAATTTACAACAGTTAGTTTAGGGCAGGCAGCCACGTAGGGAGGTTTAGACTTCCTAGTTGGCTGGTTGGGATCCTTGGGACGGTAAAAACCAATGGTTGCAGACGATCAGTGACATGGCTCGTTTTCGTCGAGTCTACACCAGGCACATGCAATAGGAATGATTTATCACTCATACCTGAAATATGGAAAATACTACTGCCGGTCAAATCAAGTGAAAAATAATGGAAATATATAAATGAATTTAGGAAGTCGCGTGATTACCTTGATATGATTATGAGCAATAAATTGTGCTCGAGACGTCATCAGTAAGCATTACTGTATAACACTGTGAGACTTTATCAAAACAAAAATTTACCCATAATGGAATTATACCACAGTGCACAAGTTTTATTCTTATATCAGCGCATCTCCAGAGGACAACAGCAGGTACATGGTTGGGAAGATTTTAGAGATTTCAAGCACCTAAGAACATCAAGAGTGTTGAAACCATGAAAGTTAGTGACCTAGTTGCTTGTTATAATGGGGATAAATGCATCTTTAGGAGAGCCTATGAAAGACATGTTGAGAGTATTTACATCAGCATAGGGGACACTAATGCATTAGTTATCACAACCTGTAATTTCACTAAAAAAGTTTCCATATGTCCGAGGGAGTTTTACAAGACAAGAGACTTTGATTATAAATGGTGTTCAGCCTTTGGAATTCTGATTTAATCTGGACGTTCACCCTTTTTCAACCAGATTTGTTTTTAGACTTGTGCAGCCGCTCTTTTTCTCTTTGTATTTTTTTTCGAGATGAGGAGAAGAGAAATGGTAAAGCCTTTTCAGAAGCCTATGTTTGGGGCAGTATATGTCGAGGTAGAATTTAAGATCGTCTGTAATATCTGTGATTGTATTATTCAGTGTGTCCTCATCAAATAGTTCCCAGTTAGTGTCTCTAAGTTTATGTTTATTGTCCAGTGAAGAGCATATCTGCTGAGTTTTTTTGGAAAGGTGTGAGAAGACACTTGAGTGTGACTTGCTATACATTTTGGACAACACTAGAATATTACAATGATCTGAGTTCATTATGGGAGCATGTTTGCGTGCTTCTTAAATTCAAACATCGTTTGTGAACACTAAATCGAATGTTTTGTTAAGTTGAGTGGCAAAGTTGACAACATCTGCATAATCAAGTGATTCAAGGAAGGAAAGTCGCAGGAATTCATCTCTACTGACTATTGACAGAGAGTTCTGAAGATGAGTAGCAGCATATATGGTGAATTCAAATAGATTCGAGACGGAACGGCCAGACGTAGTATAAATGTTTGAGATGAAAATATATTTGTGCTCTGACTAGTGTCTGGGACGACACTTGACAGTAATACACTCAATAAAGTCACTCGAGAATGTAAAATATACAATGTAGGAAACCGACCACTGGGGATGAGTAGGAAGTGCACAGTTAACTGTCTCCACTGCAATTAAACACCTGCTGCTTCGCCCTGTTTCAGATTGGTGACAGCCTTAGTAATCTCAGTTAGGGATGGAGAACCTATTTCTATATCCCATTTAGGGAGGTGTTGGATGTTCGGTAAGTTGAGCGTGGCTGTAGGCCAATTAAACTGCTCCTCAGAAGTATTATTTTCAACGTTCTAGTCGTCTATCCTGGAAGCTAATTATAATGCGATAACTGTCAATATCAAATTATTTTTCTAGATAAACACTGTCCTAAACACACTCACTTCCTTATCGATAATTTACTTACTTTGTCTACCATACGCACGCAGGATGAACATAAACTCTGTATTACTACAACCATATTACATCGGGTAAATTTTTCGACGATAGTGATACTATTGGTTGAGAAGCAGTAATTCGATGAATGAAACATTCTGATCTGAGTATGAATGCCTTTTTAGATGAAGAAGAGAGTTGGAAACTGTCAATCACTTAGATAAAGTCACATCTAGTGACTACTAAGGAGCTAGTCATTTATTCAACGCACAGAATTCTGACTGTGACTTTGGCATCGGTAGAGGGCAGTAGCTAAGGTGGTTGACATATATGAACCACAATCCATCTTAGCTGCATTTCCATCTTCTTCATTGATTTTACATTTAGACAAAAACAGCTCGAAATATTTATGATAACTACAAGGCAATGTATAGTCTGCGTCTTAAAAATTAAGAATCATAAATGAGCGGTTCAATTGTTAAAATCGTTTACCTGAAGACAAATGAAGGCGAATTAGGCAAATCAGTCACTTGAAATAATAATAACTGTTTGTAAATTGAACTGAAAGAGTAGAAATAGTCAGCTTTGCATGTGGGTGAAGACACCTGAGTAGAGAAAGTTTTTGTAAGAATTTCTCATAAACACACAAATCCAGTTTATTCAAATGATGTTTAGGAATTTATTACGCAAAATAAATATTAGTAGGAATACACTAAGTAAATTTTGCGATTAGTATCAGGGTGATGCACTAAAACAGAACTACAAAACAAATCACTTTGACGCTTGCCTAAGCGCATGCACGCTGATTTACGAAAATCCAAAGATAAGCATGCCTACGTATACATCCAATATAACTGGCATATACAGATCGAGATCAAATTAGGTAGTTTACCCTCGTTTCTCGAACGCGAAATCAGTTGAGATGTGAATACACACAGCATTGTTTATGCAGGACCCTTTAAACATCGTGTTACAACTTTTAATACTATCCCCAGGAAACTAGTTTTATGAGGAACAGTCACCTTGAAGTTGTTGAAAACTTTCTTAAGCAGAATTATGATACTTTTTACCAAGGAACTCTGGATATGCATTTCTGCTAGTTACTACAAGGGAAACCTTAACTGCGTAACTAGGAGAGTTATTTAAGCAGATTACTCTAGTTTCATGAACCAAACAATTCATGATTATATTCTAAGGGTATATGCGCATTTCGTCCTATTTGGGACTCGTCAGCTGGATGTACCTGCATTTCTCAGTGAGTGATGACGTTCCCACCGAAGCTCGAACCCAGTACCCATAGTTTCAAACGCCAAAGCGTTATCCACTAGACCACTTGGGCCACGAGAGCCACCTCTTGTGCAACGGGTCATATTAATTATTGAATTGAATTTTTGATTTTCCCGTCGATTGTTTGGACCGAAGTGCTCGGTCTCAGGTTGACATGTCGGCTTCTTGTGCAGATGCTTCGATGATGTCTGGGCATTTAGTATTTAATCGGTGGGTGGTGACTAGCAGTGGAATTCAGGATGCGCATTTCGTTCTATTTGGGACTCGTCGGCTGGATGTACCTGCATTCCTCAGTGAGTGATGTTCCCACCGAGGCTCGAACCCAGTGCCCATAGTTTCAAAAGCCAAAGCGTTACCCAATAGACCACCTGGGCCACGAGAGCCACATCCAGCTGACGAGTCCCAAATTGGACGAAATGTGCATCGTGGATCCTACTACTAGTCACCATCCACCAATTAGTTCAATTGTTCTTTCTTCAAATGGAATAATGACTGTTTAATAAGTAGAAAACTAAGTTTATTATATTATGAAACCAAAATTCTTGGAAAGAGATGAAAGCAGAATCTAAACATATTCGTTAACATATAATAACAAGTTCTTTTAATACGCTACTTCTCCTCGAGGGACTCCCACTTCTTGATCAGTGCCTCCGACGTCTTCCACACATGATCACAAACTTCATCATTTAGGGCTTGCGAATTACAGCTACGCGGTTGACATTCTGAATAATACGCACCAGGAATGAGATTTTCAACCAGAGCACAGAATATTGTAGTTTGAGCACCTTCACGACACGTCCTCGAGAGCCACCTGACTAGATAATAAACTAAAAACTAAGAAACGAAAAATACAGTCAATTAACAGGCTTGAATGAAAAAAAACTGAGACGAAATAGAGTCTTAGGAAGATGTCAAACCATTTGTCTCTGGCCAATGCTCATTTAATCGGCTGCATCTTATGCATAACAGAAATAAGTGAGCTCAGGAAACAGAAAGTCTTATAGGTAGATAGCAAAAACTGAAATTCAGCAGCTTTCTATGACATTCCCTAGTAAAACAGAACTTGTCTTACATCTGTGCATAGGATGCTTAGAAAAATGAATCCCCCCTGTTTCATATACTCCTGTGCGTAGAAATTTGATCCTCTACCATTTTTTGTATACTTATACCTGTATGATTTCGTAGCAGTCTGTATTTGCTTATATTTCGGGTAGGTTGGTTGGGAGAGAAATACACGCAATGATAAAAATGTCCCAGAGACATATCTTTAAACTCAAGAAGTCAATATTACTTAAATCTCAAGTGTAATACAATATTCTAGGCCGTATATCATTGCACTATATGAAGGTTGAGAAAGAGCAAGCAGTTTCCAACCAAAGGTGTCAACGTTCTGTCTACAGTGTTGAGTGGTACCAAATAGTGAATAATACTGAGGTTAGGCGTAGTGCTGCGTAAGGCTGGGAAGTCAGTTGAAAAGGTTGCGTAGTTACATCCACTGAGATGGTTAGAATCAGTGTGTATTGTATGAAGTGTTACTCTATGAACAGCTGTACTTTGGGCGAATTTATACGTAGAGAACTCATTCCCTGTCCATGACTACTGTTGTTCTTCCTTTGTCGGCCAGCAGAACTCATTCCATTACACTATATGAATATATTTAATACATCGTGATACGAAGATGAAAATCAGAGAAGTACACAAATGCTTAGCTGGATGATTTCTCTTAGGGGATCGTAATCTTTACAAGTCACAAGAACCACCAGTGACTTGTGATCAAATGAGTTGGCAGAGAGAATAGTCCCAACAGATTACTGCTTCCTTGACGTTGTATACAGAAGAGACTCGACGGTGCACACTAGATAGGACTATTATTTCTGCAGGTCCCATCACTCTAGAAAGGTCGTTTGAACAGAGGTTAGACTAGACGTAATTACTATCATAATGTAGGCCACTTACACTTTGGTGTCTCGGGTTTTGGATGTGTGCCAATCCAGAGGCGCCCACAAAGGACCCAAATATGGTTATTTGCTTAACTCCACTAGGCTAAATCAGCGAACCTACAAAATTCGCCTCACGGAGATTTTTTCACTAGTTTTTATGTACTTGCTAGTGTTGGAATGGAGTTGAGTGCTAGGCCAGAAAAACAGTGACTTGATTGGATGGGTGGCCGTATATATGGTATTCGGCTGAACGGAGCCGTGACAAGAAGGAATGATTGTGACACTCAGCGGTGATTTTTCCGACTAAATACAGTACGGAACGGACGAAGTATTAACTGTGTTGCATCATAGCGATCAGGTTTGCTGCTAAACGCAAAACTCTCAGATATTCATTTACCTGATTTTAAAAAGGCAGACTGACCTATTCAGAAAAGGATATTGGTGTCACACCGAAGAACCGACATTGATGATCGTTTTCTACTTTTATTTTCAAGTAATCATCTGTTCCTCATTAGCACTGACTGCAAACATTGAGACATTGTCTAACATAACGACCTCCATCACGAAATCAACAATGGTCTCAAATAAATCATGTAGCAATAAGCTATCGATGGAGACGGTAGGTAGAAGATTATCACTCCTTTTGGAACTCCTGTGTAGACCCCGATGATGCCTTGATCTGTACACGTATACGACTACGTTAAATCACACATAGAAAACAGACACCTACAAAGCTGATACTCTCCAAGCTTGGAGAGAATACAGAGTCATTATCCGGGGAAGAAATAACTAAACATGTATCTGACGTTGACAGTAAAACGCATCTTGAAAGTGTGAAATAATACCCTGTCAGCTATATAAACAATATATAAAACAGTTCATAACTTGATATCAAAGGTTAGTAAACACTAGTGGATTTCTACTATTTCATCCCAACTGGTAGATACAAAAGTACTGACTCCGGCCGGCTCCAAAAGTGACGAGATGAGAAAGCTGCTCAAACGTAAATTCACTAAAAATCTCCGCAACGGACACGAACAGTGGTGGGCACAAAAGTCGAAGAGATAGAAAAGGTATTGTCGATATTTGACACTAGACAACTACTAGGGATCATCAGAGATACTGGTTGTTAGACACAAACGACATGAGTATAACTCAATAAGACGTATCCTGATCATTCTGTAAATCGTATCTATTCAATGTCTTTATGGTACAAGTAGATTAGTTTCCATCCATTGTGGGACGCCAGTGTTGTGCGAAAATTGTTACATAGAATTACATTGAGAAGTTAAAACCAGAGATCATTCAGGGTTGTTAATAAAATAGATAGAAATAGTGACAAACAGATTACAGCATATTGAGGACTAATACTTCCTACCTTTTTCTCAAAATATTATGAAATATAACTAAGGTAGAAAACTTAGTAAGCATCGGAAGTTGTGTCCACCTACAAGATCTTCGATTCGCGTTTAGTTGACGTCTGTCAAAGGTGATTATTATTCAGGTTACATTTTCGTAAACATTCAATAACCACTGGTCAAAAACTAGTGACTAGTTTTGCATAGTACTATAATAAATTTATTAAGCTGCTAAATGCTAAAACATGTCTGCAGTCATTCAAAGAACAACTTACATGTCTCAGTTTACTGGAACGAAAAATAGATGTTCTCACCAAACCCGGATGAACACTGACTGCAACAATGCCGTCAGTAGACCAACGCTTACAAATCTCACGTGCATGCATCACATTCAACAGCTTGCTAATAGCATATGCAGATCCTATGCCTGACAGATAAGCACTTTTGGGATCCAGTCTAGCAAACCAGTGAGAGAGAGACGACAAAATAATTATACGACAGAACTCTCCATCAGAAGTGCGTAAACATGGTTTCAGTAGTTTTGTAAGTAAAAAATGGCCCAGATGGTTAACCTTAATGTGTTTCTCGATGCCAACTCCATCGTAACTTTTTCCGGATAAAGATGCTCCTGCATTATTAATTAAAATCGATACTGATTTCTCTCTACTAATAATACGACCTGCGAATTGTCGAATAGATTTTGGTGATTCCAAATCCAACTCTTCACAGACCAACTATAACGAAAGTGAAAATTTAGAGATAACCATATGATTATCTTCAATCATTATTCAAAAATAGCAATTACACTTTATTACAGTTGGAAATGAAATTATATATATATATATATATATATATATATAAGCGCCGAAAGTAACAACCAACACTTCTAAACTTCAACTTACTCATGAAATCTAGCACACATTAACACAGTTATATTATATCGATTTACGCATTGAACTTTCAGCAAATAGGTTTGAATGTCACGATTTTAAAGTAAGCTAAGTATTAATATTATACTGCGTATAATCACCGTAGGTAATCTGTCAATGCATGAAATGTGCATATAGCTGCTATGTTATAATTTTCAATTAAAGGGAACGTAAAATCATCATAAACCAGCATATATATATATATATATATTTCTGTTTCCCAAAACTTACACTGATAAGTTAGGTCTCGTTTTGTAGAAATGTTTTCGTGTGCCGAACCATCTGGATTTCCATCACAAACCAAATATGACAAAAAATTTTGCTTATATTCAGTAGGAAACATACATCCTGACTCCGCGACTCAAATAGTTTTATATTCAACATAAATATTTTTTCTCCGAAAAAAACTGCTTGTCCATCTCTTCACGAGTAAATGAATATATGTTATCAGCTAAAAGAATGCATTCACTGAGTTTATTATCTAATCCAACTATATGAATGTATACTTCTATTGCAGGGAATTTAATTAGCTAAATCAAGATAAGACAGATGTATTTAGAATAGTGCACAAAAGTCTTCAACGCAACCCATTTCATATTGAAAAATTACACAAAAACGGAGTTAGTGGTTGTTGTGAACTTTTCTTATAATACGTATCTAGTCATATTCATATCTCTACCACTATTAACACTCTTTTTTTCCTTTATATGTTTAAGCCATTCCGGCTTCATTGTAAAATGAATAAAGCCTAAATTCTTGGTTCATTCGTCTTTTCAAGATTCAAGCATCACTCATCGTTCTAAGACTCAATCACCTTCGTAACAATTTATTCATTTTACAATATTCATGGAACGATTTTTCCGACCTGATCGGTTCGACGTAGAACCTAACGCAGTTGGAGCTGCCAAGAAGTGGGATCACTGGTTTGCGACTTTTTCCTACTTCATTGAATCAATGGGATCCGAAAATCCTTCGAAACTACATATTCTCTTCAATCATATTTCTACTTCTGTATACGAATGCATTTCTGAATGCAAAACATACGAAGAAGCTATCGACACTCTCAAGAGTCTCTACATGCAGCCTTGCAACGAAGTGTTTGCTCGACACTTGTTAGCAACGTGTAAACAAGAATCTGGCGAAAATCTGGATCAGTTTGTTCGTCGACTCAAGTCGCTGACTACAGATTGTTCATTCAGGGCAGTTACAGCCGAAGAACATCGTAACGAATCTCTACGTGATTCATTCATCTCAGGTATACAGTCTTCGATGATACGCCAGAGGCTATTAGAACAGCGTACTTTAACTTTTCAAGCGGCATACGATCAAGCACGAGCTCTAGAGATGGCACATCAACAATCGCAGTCATACAACAATCCTGTTACACCTTGCGCGTCCATTTCTTTACATGATATACCTCATTCATCAGATTCCACACCCTCCGTCAATGAAACAACCATTGCTGCCGTTGAATCCAAATGCTTTTTCTGTGGTAATCGTAGACATCCTCGTTCCAAATGCCCCGCCCGTGATGCAGTTTGCAAAGCTTGTGGCAAGCAAGGACATTTTCAGAAGGTTTGCAGGTCTGCGCCATCTACGAAAAAAGGTCCATCTTCAGTTAACTCTATAATTTCATCTCTCGTTGTGGCTTCAGCACCTCAAAGTCTCACTGATGCTGTTACGCAGCTTACTGTTAATGGGAAATCAATGCAAGCTCTAGTGGATACCGGAAGCAGTGAGAGCTACATCTCTTCCTCAGTTGTTCGTAAGTATAACTGGAAAGTCCATAAGTCTCGAAACAGAATCACAATGGCGAGTACGAATCTTACTAGTCATACTGAAGGACATTGTTTTCTATCCATCTGCTATAAAAACCACACTTATGATCTATTCAAATTATCCATTCTTCATAATTTATGTGCAGACGTCCTTCTTGGACATGATTTTTTAAAACTTCCCAAACACATTGAGATTCCTTTTGGGGGATCAAAGCCGCCTTTTTCTCTCTGTGGTCTACCTTGTGTTCGCGTCGACCTGCCTACTCTGTTTGAAAATCTTTCAAAAGACTGTAAACCGATCGCGATAAAATCCCGGCGTTATTCTCGTGAAGATGAAAGTTTTATTTCCACCGAAGTCAACCGGTTACTGCAAGAAGGTGTTATTGAACCTTCTAATTCTCCTTGGCGAGCTCAAGTTCTTGTTACGTCAAACGAACGCCATAAAAAGAGGATGGTAGTTGATTATAGTCAGACAATCAATCGATTCACTTTTCTGGATGCTTACCCATTACCTAGGATTGACGAAATGATAGAAAAAATCGCACAATATGACATATTCAGCACTCTTGATCTGAAGAATGCTTATCATCAAATTGCCCTAAGGAACGAAGATAAACCATATACTGCTTTCGAGGCTTGTGGGAAACTTTACCAATTTTGCCGAATTCCTTTTGGTGTTACCAATGGCGTAGCTTGTTTTCAACGCATTATCGATGGATTGATCAGTAAAGAACAACTCACAAGCACGTTTGCCTACACTGACAATGTCACTATCTGCGGCAAAACTCAGGAGGAACACGACAAAGATCTAAACAAGTTTATGGTAGCAGCACGCGATTATGGAATAACCCTTAATGATTCCAAAAGTGTGATCTCAAGCAGAAGCATACAATTACTCGGTTATGAAGTTTCAAAGGGGTTATAAAATCAGATCCCGATCGGCTAAAACCTCTTCGTGATCTAGAACCACCCACAGATATCAAATCTCAACAACGGGCCGTTGGATTATTTGCTTATTATTCACAGTGGATCCCTCGCTTCTCAGATAAAATCCACCCATTGGTAAATAATCGGATTTTCCCTCTTGATATCGAAACTCGAAATGCTTTTGACAAACTGAAAGACGACTTAGAACGTGCAGTCGTTGTGGTAGTTGATCCGAAAGCACCCCTTGTTGTTGAAACAGATGCTTCAGATGTCTCAATTGCAGCTACATTAAACCAGAATGGTAAACCTGTCGCCTTCTTTTCTCGAAGCCTCTCTCGAAGTGAGAAACATCATTCATCGGTTGAGAAAGAAGCCTATGCCGTGGTTGAAGCAATTCGTAAGTGGAAGCATTGCCTTCTCGGAAATCACTTCAAACTTGTCACTGATCAACTTTCAGTAGCATTCATGTTTGACAAGATTCATAAAGGCAAAATCAAGAACGATAAAATAATGCGTTGGAGAATTGAGCTATCCCCTTATCAATATGACATCATTTATCATCCTGGAAGGGATAATCAAGCTGCTGATACATTTTCCCGTAGTTTCTGCGGTTCCTTGCAGTCAGTGTGCGACTTGAAATTTCTCCATGACTCTATGTGCCATCCTGGAGTTGTCCGAATGATGCATTTTGTACGCTCGAGAAACCTTCCATTCTCCCTTGACGAGGTGCGCAATGTAACCAGTAAATGCGTGACATGCTGTGAGTTAAAGCCTCAATTTTACAATCCCTCTAATTTCAAACTCATAAAAGCAACCCAACCTTTTGAAAGGTTGAGCATCGACTTTAAAGGACCTCTACCGTCAGCTAGCCGCAATCACTATCTGCTCACGCTGATCGATGAATATTCTCGATTCCCCTTTGCATTCGCCTGCCCCGACATGTCGTCTCAAACGGTAATGAATTGCCTTTGCCAACTATTTTCGATTTTCGGTATGCCTTCTTACATACATACCGACAGAGGCGCTGCTTTCATGTCTACCGAATTACGGGCATTTCTTCTGGAGAAAGGCGTAGCAACCAGTCGTACTACCTCATACAATCCTCAAGCCAATGGGCAGGTCGAGCGCCTCAATGGAACACTTTGGCGTGCCATCACTCTAGCATTAAGATCACGGGGCCTACCAACGGCACAATGGGAGTCTGTTCTACTCGACGCCTTGCATTCCATCAGATCTTTGCTCTGTACTGCAACGAACGCCACGCCACACGAACGACTGTTTACCTATAACCGAAGATCGACATCTGGGACAACTCTTCCTACTTGGCTCACTGTACCAGGACCAGTACTTCTCCGGCGGAGTGTTCGTCAGTCCAAATTCGATCCCCTGGTTGAAGAGGTGGAGCTATTGAATTGTAACCCGCAATTCGCTCACGTTCGCTTCGGTAATGGACGTGAAGATACAGTTGCTCTTCATCATCTGGCACCCAAAGGCGAAGATATAGATCAAGTTGAAAATGCAATACTGGAGGGCGACGCAATTCCTGAGCAACAAGTAAATGGGGATGCAACCACTGATCCTAATATTCTTCGTGAAGAAAATACAACTGAAACGAACAACGGGTGTATTCTTTTGGAAAAACAACAACGTGTACGGCCTTACAATTTGCGTACCAGAGAAGCGTGACATAATGGCTCATTCCTTTTCAAGCCGCAGTGAATGCTGTGAACTTTTCTTATAATACGTATCTAGTCATATTCATATCTCTACCACTATTAACACTCTTTTTTTCCTTTATATGTTTAAGCCATTCCGGCTTCATTGTAAAATGAATAAAGCCTAAATTCTTGGTTCATTCGTCTTTTCAAGATTCAAGCATCACTCATCGTTCTAAGACTCAATCACCTTCGTAACAATTTATTCATTTTACAATATTCATGGAACGATTTTTCCGACCTGATCGGTTCGACGTAGAACCTAACGCAGTTGGAGCTGCCAAGAAGTGGGATCACTGGTTTGCGACTTTTTCCTACTTCATTGAATCAATGGGATCCGAAAATCCTTCGAAACTACATATTCTCTTCAATCATATTTCTACTT